TCTTCGTGACAGGTAAGTCTCAAACTCTTTTCTTTGCTTCACAATTCTTTGCCTCCTCGAAGCACACTACTTCTAATAACTGCACTTAATCAAATTCTTCAGATCTATACAGTAACATTCATCCTCACCTGAGGAAGCTCAACAAGTAGCTTGACAAGGAGGGATTTGACTACTCTCTATACAGGTCTTAACAATGGAATAAAGCATTTCCATCATATGAAAAACCAACAACCCCTAAATGAGAGTTAGTTCACATTTGCTCATAATTCCTTGCAACTACTCCCTACAGTTGTAGCCAAAGTGCACCCAAAAGGAAGGAAGGTCCAAACTTTGCAGCAAGCTCTTACAACTAATCTCTAAAGATGTAGCTAACAAAGTTTTTTTGAGACGAGAAACATTATTCTGGTTGAATACATTTCGATCTCTTGTCAAACTCTGGCCAGGCAAAGCGACTACTGTTATTTTACCCTTCTTCTGCCTCATATCGATGACTAATTCGTTATCTCGCTCTTTTCATAGTACTATGCTGATAAGCTAAAAAAATAGTGAACTAAATGAACATCAAAAAGTAAATTTTCTAAGCTATTGGGGAAACTCATATGTAAAGTGAGCCTCCCTAACCTATTAGATTGAGCCATCTTATCATACACTTGAAGTTCATGCTTCTTTATATAATTGTACTTATCGACCACATTTGTCAAAGTTATAATCACAATAATTGTGTCTTAAGTAATGATCATAAAAAATATCTCTACAAAAGGCCAAGCAAACTGGCGAGCTCCTCCGACAAGCTCAAATAAACTCATCAAACTTCTTTGTCGAGCGTGTACGAAACTAGCCATGCCAGTTTGTTGAGCTCGCTTGCATTTCTCAAGCTTCGCCATCGAGGTCATTTTCAAATCTTTTAGGGCCGTCAATATGGTAGAAGAAAGGAGACTCTCGCACATCACTTTCTATGTTTTCTTATGAGCCGTTAACATCTATGCATGATAGATTTTCAACAAAAAATTTCATTATACTGCGTGCAGTATGACCAACAATGTAACATTCCTTTATTCTTTTATATTTTGTGGTTTTGGGGGGGATATGATACCTTACAAGAGAAAAAAAAGTAAGACAAAGAGAAAAGTGAGGGGGATAATGAACTCCGTCCCTCTTCACCTTCTCTATTCATCTCACAAGATCCCTCTCGGACTGTATGAATTCATGAACTATATGGGACCCTAGCTATATGGGACCTAAAAGGATTCAACATCTAGCCTTACATATTAAAAAAAAGAGCATTTACATACATAGTACACAATTTTTATGTAGTTACATATTTAACTCTTAAAGTTTCATATCTACCCACAGAATATTTTGATGTTTTAAATTTAGATATGAAAATATGTATTATATTTTCGGAAAGTAACAACTTTATTTTATATAATATTAAATATTTGAGTGGTCGTGCATATAAATATTAATATGAAAGTTTAGCTGTGAGAGGAGCGTAAATGCATCAAAATCGGGCGCTGCACTTGAAAATTTTCTAAAAAAATCTGCTTTGATAATCCTGAACGAAATAATTAAATTTGTCAAAATCTATTGTAATGAAGCCACGAAAGATTTAAAGATTTTAAAGATATTTAAGACAAGTTTAGACCTCGGCGATATGACATTAAAAAAAAACCCACATATTTCTTGGCGAAGTAGATTTAATTTTAGTAATTCTGAACAAAATAACATAATATGTCAAAATTGACTGTAATTAAAAAAAAAAATCCATCTTGGCATTTGGAATAGCTCTAGAACCTGAAGCCACGCTGCTGGATTTTCAACCTCATATCTTTTCCGGGCCCCACAGGTTAGTTTTTGTGGTGTTGCGAGAGTTTTGTGGGCCCCACGCTTTGATTTTTATTTTGAGCATACACTTCAAAAATCTGATTCCATCCAGTGATCTGGGTGGCCAAATTATGGTCTAATTTTTGTGTGCTGACAGAGTTCTGCGTGTGCTCTCCAATCACAGTCTCATATTGTGGTGGTATAACAGTGAGTCCCACAGTCATAAAGTTGCACATCAGAGAGCGCACACAACACACACCTCTGCGTGCGCTCTCCGCACGCAATAATCCCTCCAAATTATGGGCTCGGCCAATAAAAATTATAATATTAAATTTAATTAAAAAGTTAATATATTTTTATCATGTTATTTTTGGCCTTTGATTTGAGGGAAGGTCAATAAATTTATCATAAATTAATAAATTTAAAAATAATTAATTAAAATTTTCAAGTATCCTCAATATTCTATAAAATTTTTATCTTATTAAATTTCATAAATATATATTAATAAAATTGGCATTTACATGCATATCGCAAAATTCTTATGCATTTATATATAACAACTTAAACTTTAATTTCTTATAAAAAAAAAATACATGCCACATAATTATTATATAATTATATATTTGTGCATTTATTTATGACATAGTAGTTGAAGGTGTAATCTATCACTCTGAGGTCACGAGTTCGAATCACACGTATTTGACTCACCTATCTAAAAAAATATAAACAAATGCTTAAACTTTACATTTACAATTTACATATAAAACACTCGAAATTATAATATCACATAAAACTTTGGTAATTTTCTCAACACATCCATCTATAATAAAACTTTGGTACTAATCTATCAAAGTGCTTCAAGTGTAAAAATCAAATTTTACGTGCTAGATATTTAAATAAGTAACAATTGCACTGTAATGTATGCATGTAGTTTTCTTTGTCATCCTTCGTTGTATTAGCAAATCTAAGATCGCAACTTCTTCTATGGGAACTTTTCATCTAAGATTATAATTGCATCATCAAGTTGACTGAGAGTTTGGTTTGTTAATTTGATTATGAAAGATGGAATGTGCTAGTGAGATTTGTTTAATTATTTAGGAGGATAGTTGCAAAGCCAAAATAACAAAATTTTTCATTTTATAGATATATGAATCAACTGATGAAAATGTTAAACATTGTGACTAGGATGAAAATGAATTTCTGACTATAGTAAATTTATGCGAATAATAAGTAAACATTGTTCCTTTTTAGGCTATTTTACAACTCCCGACTAGCTGATAAATCAAATAATCAAGTTTATTTAACTTTAAGACCGCCTACAACAAGTATTGTTTCTTCTTGCCTCCTTAGGCATATCCTTTTGTATTTTCTAGGAAATGAGCACAATAAATGAGTAATTATGCTAAAACTCAATTATCAAAGTTCAAATAAGCTCTACAATGAAAGAACCAAAAATATTCAATCTAATTTCAATCAACAGCATGTTCCCTGGACTACTTCTAGTAGAAGGGAATAATCGTTTTAGTTGATCATTGACGGGCATGACATGGCATGTAGAATTCAATCCCCTTCTTAAAGTCAAATTGTTGTACCCTTTCTTCAGATAAAATGTCACTTGTCACTAGCACGTACTTAGCCAGTAGATGAGCGAAACACAAGCTAAACAATTTTGTTTGTTTTAGAAGATTTACATACATACCACTCCATGCATTTACATATCTAACAGCTGCAATTAAATTTTTACATGCATCTTCCTTAAAGTATGAATTAAAAAGGTATAATTTCATTTTTTTAAGCTCATATGGAACTGTTTTCGATGTGATATCAATATTTTTGATGATATAAATATAAAAAAATAAAATTTAGGTGTTAGATATGTAAATAAATAGGAGTTGAGTGACATGTATGAAAATGCACACTTTTTTCTTTTCAGACAACTCGGTAATCTTATCAACTTAAATATATTAATTCTTTTTAACATACAATTATTAATAATTCGTTAATATTCTTATTATGCCACATATTACAAATTTTCTTTTGAAAAATTCAGACCACATAGCTTGAAAGCTACCATCGCACCTAATCAGGAACGGTAAGAAAATACTGATTTCAGCTATCTGAAAATGAAGTTTTTTGAATAAACTGTCAAAATGTAAGTTCTGGGTGTGTTTTCAAAATGCACCGTACCAAATAAACTGCTCCAAACGGGGCCTTAATCATTTTTTTTTTAATGTTAAGCGAACTTGAATCAAGACAGCCTATAATTACTCTCGCCACCGGTTTGTCTTTGAGATGAATTTGTAATACCCATATTTGTAGCCTGCTTTCTCTCTCATTTCTATATTAACTTAAGGTATGTCGTCTCCTATTTCCATATTAATTAAGGTCTGTTTAGGTCGATCAACACTAAATACTCAAATTAGACCCTCCTTCCATCAAAATATCAGAAGAGTACATCAAAACAAGTATCAATTTAATTAATTTTAATACTATAGTCCAAAGATTTGGAAATCATAAACATTAAGCTTTTTATCAAGTGGCACAAAAACACGATCCACATATTTTCGTTTGGAAGATGGCCCAATAAAATGATAAATTTTGGCTGACAAAAATTGGAGAGATATTTGGTAAAGATATTAAACATATGGGGTTTTACATACATGCCACCCAAAGTTAAATTTTTGTGTTCTTTCTTTTTATTCTCTTGTATTCTTTATTTATTTTAAAGGTGTAAATTCTTTTGTCCTTCAGAGCTTTTATTCATATGAATTACCTTTAGTATGTCTCTGGAGTGGCTGCTGCTACACTTGTGGTCCTCTTCAGCACTTCTTAGTATGTTGCGATTTGTTTACTTTGTTTCCTCTTTTGGTTGTACTGTTCAAGTGTTATGTATTCTATTTTTGAACATGGCTATCATATTTTCAAGAAAAAAAAAAAGAGGCAATATATAAATAAATATAATCAAACATGGTTAATTATTTTCAAAATATTATGCATTTAAGATTATAAAATAAATAAAAAAATTAATTTATTCAAAAGATATAATATCATATAAAATCCAGATGTGCATTTCCTTTTTCACAAATCAAGATCAGCGATTCAAAGAAAAGTGGGATAAATTTTCCTCATCAAACAGTTGTTCTTCGAATCGACTTCAAAGTTATAAAAAATCGAAATAAAACGAGAAATAGATTCAGCAACTCCAATTCTAATCAATATCAGAACATTCCCTTTTAGAACCTAACAAAACTTGTAGTTCGCAAACGCAAACCTTGAAACAGCAATCGTCAAAAGATCAATCAGAAACTAGAAACAGTAAAACAAAAAAATGCAAAATCAATCAAACTCTCAGAGCATATCATCTCGAAAATCACCGCCAGATCGGCCATCACCTGTGCGCCGTAACCAGAGTTTCGATGAATTTCAACCCATCAAATCTGGGAGCAAACTTTTTACTCTCTCCGCCTCTCGCCGATCCAGATACTGTCGCCTTCGCATTCTCAGATGAAACCTGGAACCAAACGATCGAAACTTAGCAATCAATGAAAAGAAAACGCATCATAAGAAGTTATGGTGTTAGGGTACGATCAGAAACCCTACCTCGCTATCAAAGGGAGATCCGGCCAAGCAGTCATGACTTAAGGAGGAGGAAATGAATGAGGACGCGGCGGCGATGGAGGTCACCAAGAAGACGCCGGCCTTCTTCATGTTGGAACAGAACCGCCTGATCGAGGAAGGAAGCCGGGGCCTTGCTGGTTAACGCCGGAGCCACAAAACGCTAAGATTGCTGAATATCTCTGCTTTCAACAAGATACTCATATTTATAGCCCTGGTGCCCAATAGTGTGCAATTAATAGGGATTTGGGTTCCGTTGTGTGAACGCGCATGGCAGAGTGCTGAGCGTCCAGCCGTAAATTCGTCGGTTTTAAATGCTCTGCTTGGTCTTGACGCCGTTCATTTAAATTAAAGTTTTCTTTATGCAGGAATTTTTCAGGCAAGAATTGATTACTATTTAGTGGTGTGGAGTTTTCTTTGCTTTTTTATACCGTGATTTATAATTAGAAAAATTAGTGCTCAATATTTAATAAAAATTTAATTATAATAGTAGGTCAACAGAATATAAGAGTAATTAGTGTCCATTTATAGTTTCGTGTTTATCAATTTTTTTAAAGTAAAAGAAAATTATTGTTTTGTATAATTTATATTTATAAATATTTATTAAGTTTATTTCTCGTTTATCTAATCATTTTTATATTTATAGATTTATTTGGATGATTTACATACTTACCACTTGATTCATCTCTATTTACATATCTACCATCTAAATTTAAATTTTAAGTACATACCTCTTTACATCTGCATAAAAAGTGTATTTCACTTTCTAAAAATTAAAATAATGGTAAAATTGATGTCATATGAAAGATTTGGATGGTAGAAATATAAATAAGAAAATGTTGGTAGTAGATATTGATGCATGCTAGAAAATTTGCAGCAGTTGAGTAATATATTATCGTTTTAATTTTATATGAAGATTTAACACATACTCATAAGAGAGAAATTAACAAGTAATGACACTAGAAATTTTTATTTGGAAACTCATAAAGGAAAAGCCACAGAGTCTGACCCAACTGAAGAACTCCACTATAAAATGATGATTACAGTTGCAACCACTTCTACAAATGAGAAAGAGTTAGAAGGGTTCTCAAGTTACAACGTCGTCGTGCGTATAAATTTGTTGGAAGGAACAAAAGATGTTCGATAGATATTGATGACGACCAATCGGTGGTGGTCTACAGCGACCGGCGGTAGTCGACAGCGGCGAGAGTGATGTTGGACTCTAGCTCATTCTTAATACTTCAAGTTCTTTCTCAAACCTCAATCTCTCTTCCCCCTCGTGAGAGATGTGAGACTCTATTTCTAGAGTTATATGTGCAAATAATGCAGGAATATGAACCACTTTAATCAGACGCCTAAGAGAATTTCATTCAATCAAACGACATTTGCTGGACATTTATGTGTCTTAAAGATGTGAGAATGGAGCGATATTAAGCTTGTTTGATTTGTCTCACCGAAACTCTCGATTAAACAATGATCTCGCTGAATTTAGCATCCTCTTGACCTTCAAAATGTGTCTGGAAAACTTTCAAACATGTTTTATTGGCTTGATTAGGGCTCAATTTGGTTCAAATTAGATCAATGTTGGTATCATTGGGTCTGTCTCGCCGAGCCGGTTAGTTTGACTATAAGTTTGCTAAAATTGGAGCAGTTTATGACTTTTAATCAAAGTTTGGATATTTCTTGCTCAAAAGATTGTTAAGAGATTCATTTTATGTCTCTAAACTCATGCGAGTTGTAAATTTGTTCATGACATACCAGTGACCCTCCTATATATTATAATAGTATGTAATTCATATAAAGGAAATATAAAACTTTATATTTTAATATTAAGCAACTCAATGCAGCTCACTTGGCGGCTCCTTTTTGTTCTCTGTGCAAGTCTGGGGTTCGAATCTCATCATTTCATATATATTCTTTTTTGTTGTCGGGCCGAAATTCAGAGCCGCTGCCTGCGCTGTCCCACGGCGAGCCTTGAACTGGGTCATTGGGCGGGTCCACCGACCCTCACGAACATAGGCTGGATATGAATAGACAGGGATTTGCACCGCTCTGGACTATAAGATAGAAACATGATCGACAGAAGCGAGTTTGGACCCGAATTGTCGGATTTGGACCTGCGAGAGAACGCTTAGCAACCCGAAAGATAGAGTTAAAATATATTTTTCCTCCTCTTTTTTTCTTTTTTGAACAGCTGGCATTTTCTCACCCTTTTTTTTTGTAACGAGTGAATTTAGAAGGCTAAAATGTGAGAATATGAAAAGAATTTCAGTTTCTTTTTCCTCATTTTTTAATCCATTTGCTCTTAAGGCTCGGCTTCTTCCTAAGCCTATAAATAGAGTTCATTGGAGAGAGAGAATCAAAAGTAAGAGAAAAAAAGAGAAGAAAAAGAGGGAGAAAGAGAGAAGCAGAGGGAGAGAAATTCAATTCTAAGAGAAGGAGAAAGGGGTAGAAGAAGGAGAAGAGAAAAAAAACTATCCCTATCCCTGTTTAATAGGTGACCTTGGATTTTCTCTTTTTTATTTATCTTTTTCATGAAGAAACAGGAGAAAACCATTTTGAAAGTTATCCCAACCGCTGCCTCGCAAGGCTTTCGAGATTTTCTTTCACTGTCTTCTCTTGTGGACAAGCAGGAGAAAGCCATCTTAAAAGTTATGCCCAACTCTGCTTAGCAAGACCTCTAGAATTTTCATTTGTTGTCTTCTCTTGAGAAGAAATTGAAGAGAATTGTCCTGAAAGTTATCCCAAACTTGCCTCGCAGAACATGCGAGACTTTTTTCACGATATTCTCAAGTGGAGAAGCAGAAGAAAACTGCCACAAAAGTTATCACCGAACTTGCTTTGTAGGACTTCCTAGATTTTCTTTTGTAATCTTCTCTTATGGAGAAGCAGGAGAAAGTTGTCCCAAAAGTTATCCCCAACCCTACCTGGTAGAAACTATGAGATTTCCTTTCGTGGTATTCTCTCATAAAGAAGCAGAAGAGAACAATCCTGAAAGTTATCCCCGACTGTACCTTGGAGGCCTCTCAGTTTTTTTTTTACGGTCTTCTCTTGTGGTGAAGCAGAAGAAATCTGCCTCAAAAGGTATCCCCAACCCTACCTTGCAAGAACTCCAAGATTTTCTTTCGCAATCTTCTCTCTTGGAGAAGCATGAGAAAGTCGTCACAATAGTTATCCCCGACATGCTTAGCAAGACCTCCGAGATTTTCTTTTGCGGACTTCTATCATGGAGAAGCAGGAGAGGGCTAATCTGAAAGTTATCCTCAACTTTGCCTCATAGGACCTCCCGAATTTTCTTTCGTGGTCTTCACTTGTGGAGGAGGAGGAGAGAGTCTTCCCAAAAGTTGTCCCTAACCTTGCCTGGCAGGACCTCCGAGATTTTTTTTGTGGTCTTCCCTCGAACTGCTAGGATGGTGACATCCGGTGAAACTCACCCTACCGAGAAATAAAGGAAGAGGTAGAACTCAGAGGATGCGACGTCGAAGTTGAAATAGAGCGACCTAATTTTATTTTGAGAGAAATACTATTTCTCGAGAAATATTGTGGTCAACTTACCGACTCCTTTCGGTCGAACATATTCCACTCCTTCTAACTATAATGTTATTTCAACCAATGTCTGAGCTATCAGAAGTTATGAAGGCGACCAGTGTGTGCATTGCACAGTTCTCTTTTCGAGCAATGACAACCCTTATTGGATTGATTGTCTTCTTTAGGAAGTGCGAGTCAAAGCCGACTCCAAAAATATTGGCCCGGCTAGGTGTGTTTACTAGTGATGTACGTGGTCGTGTATTGTTTAGGAACAAAGCATTGACTTTTCAATTGAAATATTTAGTGAGGAAATGGTCCGTGAGCTTTTTCTTTGCAAACAATGAGGGAAGTTTCAATAGCTGTCGATCTCCCTTCAAACCACCGATGATGAAATATTGCGAATGTTGACATTTAAGTAACTTAAGGAGATGCATTTTGAAGTGCAACACAATTATGAATTTGTAAAAGTGGAGTCATTGTTTAAGGCCTAACTTTCATTCCACTCCGAGCAATCTGCGATCATGATGTTAAAGAAATCAATAAAAAGACCTTTTGAGCCAGCCTCTGCAGTACCCGTAAAGTGACTTCCAACAAGTATCGATTGTGAAATACTCCCTCATAAATAGTTAAGAAGAGAAATAAGCCGAATAAACATCTACCCAGCCCTTAAACAATTCATATTCTTAAAAGAGTGTTGTCTCAATCATGTATCAGACATTTATCTTTAATTGGGATTGTTATGGAGGGGCTCACTCCCAGCCAATTTGGTTTAGATTGAATCAATGTTAGTATCATTGGATCCGTCATATCGAGTTGGTTAGTTTAACAACAAGTTTGTTAAAATCAGAGCACCAGACACCTTTTAATCAAAGTTCGAGTAAATATTGCTTAAAAGATTGTCTCGAGATCGGTATCATGCCTCAAAATTCATGCCAGATGATGGAAATTTGTTCATGGCTTATGAGATTTGAAAACAATTAAAATTTGGTTTTTATGTATGTAAATGCCCCTTTTATAGATTGTAATTTTGCATGTTTTTGAGATTTTCTTAATTCTATTAGACATTATTATTATTATTATTATTATTATTATTATTATTATTATTATTATTATTATTATTATTATTATTATTATTATTATTATTATTATTATTATTATTATTATTATTATTATTATTATTATTATTATTATTATTATTATTATTATTATTATTATTATTATTATTATTATTATTATTATGTATTTTTTTGAGCTTGATGAAAAATGAATGTAAGAAGACATGCAGAGTTGTAGCCTCTGTTTCTATAGCCTGAAAGTGTCACCACCTCGTCGAGCCAAAAAGAACTGCCATAGCCGGAGCCACGACAACAGCCACGCACCTGTAGGGCCAGCCACCCCACTTTATTTGGCCGGCTATCATGGTCTGTCGACCAAATGTGACTGACCAAATACTCCAATTGGCTTGCCATCCTGGTCGATCACATTGAGTGGGCCAAAATACTCCAGTCAAGCGGCCGCCCTGGCTCGCTGCCTCCAGCCTGACGGCCCCATTGGGCCGAGCAAATTACTCTAGTCAGTCGGCTACCTCATGCCAGTCGGCCACCCGATGCGGACAAGCAACAATGAGAACACTCAAGATCAACAAATCCGAGCAAGAAAATGATCAAATTACTC